TAAACAGTGGTGAACCTCTGGAATTCTCTGCCACAGAAAGCAGTTCATGTCAAAACAATGAATCTTCTCCAGAAGGCATTCACTCTTAAGGCTAAAGAGATCAAATATATTGGGAGGAAAGTGGGAACAGGGATTGAGCTGGATGATCAGCCATGATCATTTTGAATAGCGGAGCAAGCTTGAAGAGCCAAATGGCCCACACCTCCTCTTATTTTCTATAGTTCTACGTTAAACTCTTGAAACTGAGGGAATTGAGAAAACTACCCTAAAAAAAATTTCAAAAGTCCTTGCAGATGAAATTTGCTGCATTCCCTTTCTCTTCTCTGCTTCTTAATTGAGAATTTACATTCTACCTGGTTTTGTTTGTTCGTGGGTTCCTGGCATGTTCAGCTGCTTTTTCATCTTCGATAGATCTGAGTTCCAATCAGATGTCACACACAGAATGATATAGAAGCGAAAGGATGCCTTTCAGCCCACTGTGCTTCTGACAGCTTTCCAAGGAAGCAAATCTTAAACCGCAGCCGCAATCTGAATGGACACAATTTCTCCTGCAAAGTTTTCTTACCAATTATTGATTTTGAAAGTTATCATACTTCCTTCCTACACACTTTCAGGTAGTTCATTGTGTATCTTGACTTGCTGCATAAAAATTTCCCTTAACCTCCCATCTGCTTGTCCAGCCAATTCACTATCAAGACAGCTCTATAAAATTCATATTTTGTCTTCTCTGCCCCACTGGAGAAATACCTCAGCATCTCTAGTTTCTCACAGAATTGCAGTCTGGTATTCCTGAAACAATTCTGAAACGCCACCTCTGCAATCGCTCTCAAGGTGTAACTTACTCCCCAAAGTGTGGTGTCCAGATTTAGATAAAACATTCCAACTGAGGCCTAACCAGTCTTTAATAAAGGAGTTTTTGCAGGATACAGGGTGGGGGGAGGTGTTGTCTAGGTAGCTATGTGAGTCTGTGGGTTTATAGTAAATGTTGGTCCGTAAACTGTCGCCGGAAATGGAAACAGAGAGGTCAAGAAAGGGGAAGGAGTGTCTGAGATAGACCAAGTGAATTTGAGGGCGGGGTAGAAGTTGTTAGCGAAGTCAATGAACTGCTCCAGTTCAGGCTGGGTGCAGGATGCAGCACCGACGCAGTAATCGATGTAACGGCAGAAGAGTTGGGCAACAGTACTGGTGTACGTACTGAAGAGGGGCTGTTTGACATAACTGAAAAAGAGGCAGGCGTGGTTGGAGCCCTTGCGAGTACCCATGGCAACCTCCTAGATTTGGAGAAAGTGGCAAGAATTGAAGGAAAAATTATTGAGGGTGAGAACTAGTTCAGCGAGGCGGAGGAGGGTATTAGTGGGGGTGTACTGGATCGGTCTGGATCTGTTGGAGAGGAAAAAACCATGGGCCTGTAGGCCATCCTTGTGGGATATGGATGTGTATAGGGATTGCACGTCCATAATAAAGATGAAGTGCCGGGGGCCAGGGAACTGGAGTTTCCAAAGGGGTGGAGGGTGTGGTTTGTGACCCGAATGTAGGTGGGGAGTGCCTGAACCAAGGGGGAGAGAATGGAGTTGAGGTAGGAAGAGATGAGTTCAGTGGGGTAGGAGCATGTGGAGACGATGGTTCGGTTGGGATAGTTGGGCTTGTGGATCTTGGGGAGCAGGTAGAACCAGGCAGTGCAGGGCTTGCAAACTATTAGGCTGGAAGTGGTGGAGGGGAGCTCACTGGAAGGGGTGAGGTCATGGACAGTGTGGGAGACGGTGGTTTGATGGGCCATGGTGGGGTTGTGGTCAAGGGGAGGTAGGACGTGGTGTCGGAGAGTTGGTATTCGGCCTCATTGGGTTTGATAATGAAACGAGGATCGGTGCTGCATCCTGCGCCCAGGCTGAAGTGGAGCAGTTCTTCGACTTCACTAACAACTTCCACCCTGCCTTCAAATTCACTTGGTCTATCTCAGACACCTCCCTACCCTTTCTTGACCTCTCTGTTTCCATTTCTGGCGACAGTTTACGGACTGACATTTACTATAAACCCACAACTACCTAGACTACATCTCCTCCTTGCCCCGTATCCTGCAAAAATTCCATCCTGTTTTCCTAATTCCTCCATCTCTGTGGCATCTGCTCTGACGAGATGTTGCACTCCCAAGCATCCCAAATGTTCTCCTTTTTCAAACAACGTTCTTCCCCCCTCCACCATCATCCAGACAGCCCTCCATCACGCCTCTTCCATTCTCTGCTCCACAGCCCTAAACCACCCACAACCCCCTTCCAAACATAATAAAGATAGGGACCTCTCATTCTCACTTTCCACCCCAACAGCCTCCACATCCAACATATCATCCTCAAACACTTCTGCCAACTCCAAGTAGACCCCACCACCCAGAACATCTTCCACTCCCATTCCTCTCTGCCTTCCGCAAGGACCATTCCCTTCACCACTCCTTAGTTCGCAACGCTCTCCCCACCAAGCACTCCAATCCCCCGGTACCTTCCCCTGTAATCATAAAAGATGCAACACCTCACTACACACCACCTCCCTCACCTCCGCCCAAGGCCCTAAACAGTCCTTCCAGGTGAGACAGGACCTTACCTGCATTTCCTCTGACCTAGTCTTCTACATCCGGTACTCCCAATGTGGTCTTCTCTACATCGGTGAGACCAAATGTAGACTAGGTGACCATTTCGACAAGCATCTTCGTCTGGCTCAAGCCAGCCTAACTTCCCAGTCACCGCCCACTTCAACTATTCACCCTCCGATTTCTCCATCCTCGACCTCCTGTAGCGTCGCAGCCATTCAGAATGCAAGTTTGAGGAGCAACACCTTATCTTCCACTTGGGCACACTACAGCCTGGAGGACTCAATATTCAGTTCTCTAATTTTACATAACCTTACCACCCACACTGCCCAGCTCCCTTTCCAGCCCTGCCTCCTCCCTTCCATTCCACCTACTGACGCTCCCTTCCAGCTACCAACTGGATTCATCCCTCCCATCGACCAACCAGGTCATATCTACTACCTGTGTCTATCTATCACGAACATTCCGTTACCCTGGTCCCACCACCACCCCCCACCCCCTTATCTGCAGCTCCCCCATCCCCACATCCAGTCCTGAAGAAGGGCAATACCCGAAACAGTGGCTTTGCCTTTCCTCCAGATGCTGCCTGGCTTGCTGCGTTCTTCCAGCCTCCTGTTTGTCTACCTTGGATTCCAGCATCTGCAGTTTTTTTTAGTCTCTAACTGAGCTTCTTCAGTGTAATTGAAAGTGTACCCATCCAAGTATCTACTGTGCTCTGTATATCAAATCCAGCTCATTAATATGTATCAAAAAGAGTAAATGTCTGAATACCATCTCCTGGAGGATTTCCTCCAATGTGTCAAACAACCCTTCAAAATTGCTTTTAACTGATTTTAGGTAACAAGTCTATTATGAGACCTTTCACCAAATGCTCCAGTTTATCATAGACTCATAGAATTCCTGTAGGGCAGAAAGAGTGCATTCAGCCCATCAAGTTACCACCGACCCCCCCACAAACAGCATCCAACCCAAACCCAGACCCGGCACCCCCACAATTTCCCCTATCTAATCTATATTACCCTGGACACTTCATGCAATTCAGAACGGCCAATCCACTGAAACCGCACACTGTGGGAAGAAACCGAAGCACCTGGTGGAAACCGACGCAGAGAGAACGTGCAGATTCCATGCACACCCCAGCACCCAAGACTGGAATTGAACCGAGGTCCCTGGCACTGTCAGGCAGCAGTGCTAACCACTGAGCCATTGTGCTGCCCTTAATGTTTGTGATAAATAACATTATTTATTAAAAATTCTTACTAAATTATGAGATCAAATGAATACATTTTCTAACACTTCATCCAACAGCGTCGTGCTAATATTAGAAGGCACACTTGGCAAATTTTTACTGAATGTCAAAGTTAAATTCTAACACTCATGAATAGGCAAATTTTACACATGCTTCTCACTTACAGTCCTCCTACGCAGCTCACTTGGTTAGGTTTAATACAGCTGACATGGACACGCACTGTCATGAACGTCACGGAGTTTAATCAAATGCTGTCACTGTTTTAATATTCATAACAGATTGATTCAACATAAAGTCAAGCAAACAGATCATCCAAAATGAGAACACATAGGTGTTTGAAAATTAGACATCTTCACAAATTATTAAAATTGAAAAGCTTTTAACCCCTCTTCTTAATTTCACAACGGAAAGGATGATGAATTCAAAACTAAGTATGTAGATGGATAGCTCAGATCAGAGTTAATGGTTTGTAAGCATGATGCCCTGACACACTGAGTATCTTACCTTACTGTGCCTTGAATGAAATGAGTCACTAACTGAATAACAAGAGGGGGAAAGACTATTTCAAAAGTCACCCAGAGACACTTTTACATGGAACGTGGAGGAGGACCAACAACAAAGTGATACCGTTCAGCTGCAGTCAGTTTCAGTGGAACAGAAGAACGCCAAACTGTTATTCCCTTAAAGGAGGAAACACTTTCATACCCAGACACTTAGTGACCACTCACTGGTTGAACAGAAATTCAACACACCGTGTACCACATAACATTGAATAAAATTTCAGTCCCATGTTTGACACTGAGGCACAATATCTACACCTCGTAAGCTGACTTCCTTGCAATAAAGGCTGACTTTGTGATCCGCAACTGTTAATTTTAAGACAGCACATTATAATTGGTTATACTTAGTAGCCCTAAGGCTACTAAGGGACCCCTACAGTTTAGGCAGCCGGAAACAAAACAACTAACATTCATTCTGCACATTTAATGCAATAACACATCCGAAGATGCTTTCACAGGAGTATTATAAAACAAAATGTACAGATCCACATAAGGATATATTAAAGCAGATGGAAAAAAAACCTCGTTATGTGCTTCTTTTTGCCCACTAGTTTATCTTTAGTTTTGATAAGTAGATGTGAACATAAATATAAACAACATAAATAAGACATACCTCCATTTCAACTGCAGCAATATCCTGATCAAAGTGCTCCAATTTATTGGGGAAAAATGTCATGTTGTACGGCAGACCTTCACACCGGTGAATGGTTATGGGTTCGCAGGTGAAAAGACTGTGACTCTGGGTCAAACGGAGCAGTGGTAGGATGAAATAACAAACAAAGACTTGTGTCAAATCTTTCATGATGGGAATGCAATTAAAGACGAGGTCACAGAACTAACCCTGATCCCAACTCCAAGTATCAAGAGTCGTTATCCACTCTTCACCGTGTATCACATTGTTATTCAGCTGGTAAATTGCTTTAAGTGTACTGATTAGAGCGAACTGTTTTGCATCACAGTACTTTTCAAGTAATTATATTCCAATATTGAGTCCTGGAAAAGAAATGGAGTTAGGCAAGTAATTCATTTTAATTCTATACATCAATAGCACAATTTACCATCTGCATTGTTAATGCAGATGTCATTTCCAAATTAAAGTGTTCGCATGCAGTCATTTCGAAGGGGAAAATGTTTTGGCAGAGCTACAGCTATGTGGAATGAATGCAAAATAGGATTTCAAAGCAAGCTACGAATGTAACTCCAGTATTTGAAACTTTAAATTAATAGAAAGTACATTTAAAATATTGCCAATAATTCCTTTGCTCAAACGAAGGAGAAATGCTTGGAATTGACTGGCAGATAAATAAATACACAAATTGGGAAAGCAAAATAATGCTGCTAAAAATTCGGCTGGGTAGCATGTGGGATGTTACTAGTAAGAGGACGACTTCAGTGAACTCCATAACTTATCCCCGACACAGTTTTAATTTTTCACATGCAATCCTAAAGCAACAGTGATCTGACCTTTGCATTTCAGGAATGCTTTTTATGTTGACTTTGCAAGAGGGTTTACACCACCAGCATTTCTCCATACTTCAAAGCTCACCCACAATTTCTCCCAGGACACATGAAAAGATTCGAATTATCAACAGGAGAAGAAAACAATCTTTTCAGTAAGACTTATCCCACATCCAGTCATCCATAAGAGAGGAGCAGGTATTGCAAAGAATTTCTCAATTCTTGAACCTTTCAAGGCTAAATACACAGAGGGAAAGGGGAGTCTTACCAACGCCCATGAGGACGAATGCAGGGCAAGAACACCAGATTCCCCTTCCTTAAGCATAATATCTTCTCCTCCCAGTGAACACCTGATATACCGAGTGTAGGCATTAAGATCTCCTCACTTCTGTGAGTGCCCTTCCCCGCTTTTGTCTCCTGAGAGCACTAGATTCCTCGTGTGAGCACAAAATACCTCTCCTGAAAGCACCACGATGCCGCTGGACTCCTCAGGCTTCACGGCGCCGATCCCTCACCCTACCCGAGCAGAAAGTGTAGGGGTGGAGGCTGATCCCTCCTCTCCCGCCCCCATCATTAACCGGGACAGGCCACCCTCACTAACTCCTCAATACCGCTCAAACCTTACCGCCTCGGGAGAGAGGGATCATGACAGGTTGGGGTGTGGAGGGTGGGTATGGAAGCCGCGACTCCGGCCAGGCCCGGGGAAAAACTGCGCACAGAACAGTCATTCTCCCAGAGTCTTGAAAATCAGCAGGAGGCGCCTCTTAACCGCTCACCAGTTGTTGTCCCCCCCCTCGCGGATCACTTGTTGTTGTCCCCTCCTCGCGGATCACTTGTCGTTGTCCCCCTCCCTCGCGGATCACTTATCGTTGTCCCCCTCCCTCGCGGATCACTTGTTGTTGTTCCTCCCCCCGCCTCGCGGATCAGTTGTTGTTTTCCCCCACCCTGGATCAATTGTTGTTGTTCCCCCCCCCGCAACCTCGCGGATCAGTTGTTGTTGTCGCACACTGCCAGCACACACCTGTTGCTCCTCCTCCCGCCGCCGAGGGTTTGTGTGAATGAGAATGGCACGCAGCTTCCGTGGCCCCGCCTCCATCGCCCTCAGAGAGTCGTAGAAATTTACGGCTCGGGTAAAGGGCCTTTGGCTCATTGTGTGCTCGCCAGTCATCAAACATTCATCAAACATCCATCAACCGTATTTTCCAGCACTTGATCCTTGTACACTATCGCATTTCAAGTGCTAATCTAGACATGTTTAAAATGTTTTGAGGGTCCCGTACTTTACCACCCTATTGGATGATAAGTCGCTTTGGGTGAAAAACTTAAATCATCTCTAGAACTACTGCTTTTTACCTTAAAACTGTGCTCCTAATTATTGACTCCTGCTTGGGAAGTATTTCTTATTAATTCTCCCATGTATGCCCGTCAGAGCTTTGTACACCTCAATATGATTCCCCCTAGGGAACAACGTAGTCTCTCTTCATGGCTGAATCATTCTAGCCCAGGCAACATCCTGGTGAAGGGGAGACAACAAGGTGCAGGGCTGGATGAACACAGCAGGCCAAGCAGCATCATAGGAGCAGAAACGCTGACGTTTCAGGCCTAGACCCTTCATCAGAAAAGGGGGAGGGGAAGGGGGTTCTGAAATAAATGGGGAGAGAGGGGGGAGGCGGATAGAAGATGGATAGAGGAGAGGATAGGTGGAGAGGAAACAGACAGGTCGAAGAGGCAGGGATGGAGCCAGTAAAGGTGAGTGTAGGTGGGGAGTTAGGGAGGGGATACGTCAGTCCAGGGAGGACGGACAGGTCAAGGGGGCGGGATGAGGTTAGTCGGTAGGAGATGCCAGTGCGGCTTGAGGTGGGAGGAGGGGATAGGTGGGAGGAAGAACAGGTTAGGGAGGCGGGACGAGCTGGACTGGTTTTGGGATGCGGTGGGGGGAGGGGAGATTTTGAAACTTGTGAAATCCACATTGATACCATTGGGCTGCAGGGTTCCCAAGCGGAATATGAGTTGCTGTTCCTGCAACCTTCGGGTGGCATCATTGTGGCACTGCAGGAGGCCCAGGATGGACATGTCGTCTGAGGAATGGGAGGGGGAGTTGAAATGGTTCGCGACTGGGAGGTGCAGTTGTTTATTGCGAACCGAGCGTAGGCGTTCTGCAAAGCGGTCCCCGAGCCTCCGCTTGGTTTCCCCGATGTAGAGGAAGCCACACCGGGTACTGCGGATGCAGTATACCACATTGGCAGATGTGCAGGTGAACATCTGCTTGATGTGGAAAGTCTTCTTGGGGCCTGGGATGGGGGTGAGGGAAGAGGTATGGGGGCAGGTGTAGCACTTCCTCTGGTGAATCTCTTTTGCATGCCCTCTAGTGCAATCACATTCCTCTTAGTGTGGTGACTAGAAACTGCATACAGTAATCCAAATGTGACCTAACTAATGTTACAGACAGCTCCATCATACCCTCCTTGCTCTTGAATTTAATGCCTTGATTAATAAAAGCAAGTATCTCATATCTACCTAAACACTTTACCTGTCTTTCCTGCTGTCTTCTATGATCTAAGGATGTACCAATGACCAATCTTCCAAAGATCCTAACATTCAGGATGTGCTCCCTTGCCTTATTTGTTCTTTTAAAATGCATCACCTCATAATATTCAAGATTAAATCCCATTTGCCAGTGTTCAGCCCATCTGATCAATCCATCCCATCCTTGCAGTCAGACGTTCCTCCTCACTATTTGCCACATCACAGATTTTTGTGTCATCTGCGAACTTACTGATTATACCTCCTATATTCATGTCAGACTATGAATGTACACTACCAGCAGCAAAGGACCCAGCACAGAACACTGTGGTCCACCACTGAACACAGGCTTCCAGTCACAAAAACACCCTTTGACCATCACCCACTGCTTCCCGCCACAAAGCCAATTGGGATCAATTTGCCAAATTGTCCTGGATCTCATGAGCTCTTGCAAGCCACTGTCAGAAGACTTAGTGAAATCCATGTAGACTACATCAAAAGTTCTACCCTCATCTACAGACCTAGTCACCTCCTCAAAAATTTTAATCAAATTTATTGGATGTGATCTCCCCTTTACAAAGCTGCTCTGACAATCCTTGACCAATTCTTGCTTCTCCAAGCAGACATTAATTCATCAACTAACTAGAACCCACCGAACGTATACAGATCCCATCTTCTTTAGAAACAGAACCAGTGATTTAGGAACTGATAGCCTTCACTCCTACTCCAACTCTTCAGCCATGAATTAATCTGTTCTATTTGCCTATTGCTACACTCACTGTCACACTAACATCTTGCACCTGGCACAGCTTGGAAGAAGAGAATGAATTTCTTCAGGCGGCAGAGGTGTCAAGGGGGCAACATCCACTGTCCATTTTGGATTCTGAGGTATCTTCAGTACAAACCCTTATGGATATTATTTGTGGTATACTTCTGTGAATCCTCATCTAACTGTAATTACAAGGATGTATGACTTATGTTTCGCTTCATGAAGAACAGGCCACTGCTAGTGTTGCATATAAATCCTCTGTGTGAGGAATTGGGTATTTATCCAGCTCTGAAAAGTGGTTTACCAATTTCTTTTTTATAATCCTCACAGAGGTGAACCTACCAGTCGGGCTTCACAATCAACTGGCTCTGCTCATTCCGCCACCTGTGCTGATTTGATAATTTCTTCACTTTCCAACTTTTTGATTTCTGCCCCTACTTTTGCCCGTAAGGCAAATGACACTGGGTGGGCCTTGCAAAGTCTTGGAATTTCTTCCTGGTGAACATCCAAGGTGGCCTTGGCTCCTTTGATAGAATTAGAGGAGGCTTGGAGTCATAATATTCCTTAACAACTCTTGCACGTTTTTAGTACCTGGTGCCTCAGGGAAAGTTATGCTCCTAACAAAATAAAAAGCTGCTGGTCAGAAACTGTCAGGAAAATTACTCTTGCTTTTCATCTGCCCCAGTGTCATTTGCCCAGAAAAGACAACATATTCTTCAACTCCTGCCACTTCCTACAAACTAAGGGGGTGGCCATGGGCACCCGCATGGGACCAAGCTATGCCTGCATGGAACTTTTTCCCCTGCTCCACTGGCACTATCCCCCACCTCTTCCTCTGCTACATTGATGACAGTGTCAGCGCTGCCTTGTGCTCCCATGAGGAGCTTGAACAGTTCATCAACTTTATTAACACCTTTCACCCCAACCTCAAATTCACTTGGACCATCTCCAACACCTCGTTCTCCTTCCTGCATCTCTCTGTTTCCATCTCTGATGACTGCCTCATAACTGACATCTATTTCAAGCCCACCGACTCCCACAGCTACCTATACTACTCCTCCTCGCACCAACCTTGCTGCAAAAATACAATCCCCTACTCCCAATTCCTCTGCCTCCGCCACATCTGCTCCCAAGATGGGGCATTCCACTCCTGCACATCCCAGATGTCTTCCTATTTCAAAGACCGTAACTTCCCTCCTCCGGTGATTGAAAATGCCCTCAAATGCATCTCTTGCGTTTCCCACACCTCTGCCCTCATATCTCCTCTTCCCAATGGAAACAAAAATAAAGACAGAATCCCCCTTGTCCTCACATATCACCCTACCAACCTCCGCATCCAACGTATCATTCTCTGCCACTTCTGCCACCTACAATCTGACCCCACAGCCAAAAATATATTTCTCTCCCCACGTCTATCACTTTTCGTAGGGACCATTCTCCCTGCGACTCCGTCGTTTGCTCCACACTCCCCACTAACCCCACCACTCCCGGCACCTTTCCCTGCAACCACAGGAAGTGCTACATCTGCCCTTACACCACCCCCATCATCTCCATTCAAGGCACAAAACAAACCTTCAACATCAGACATGGTTTCGCCTGCACACCTGTCAACTTGGTGTACTGCATCCACTGCTCCCAATGTGGCATCCTCTACATTGGTGAGACCAAGCGGAGACTCAGAGACCATTTTGTAGAGCATCTGTGCTCTGTACACGACAAACAACAACACTTTCCAGTCGCGAAACATTTTAATTCCCCCTCTCACTCCCTGGGTGACATGTCCATCTTGGGTCTCCTCCAGTGTCACCCACAGATGCCACCCACAGGCCGGAGGAGCAGCACCTCATATTCCGCCTCAGGAGCCTACAGCCTGATGGCGTAAATGCGGATTTTACCAGTTTCAAAATCTCTCCACCCCCCGGCCTCATTTCATTACAACCCTCCCTCTCACCCCCACCTCCTTGACTTGACACCACCTGTCCATCTTCTCTCCCACCTATCCATCCCTCCCACTCTCTGACCAATCCCGACCACTGCCTACATGCACTCACCTATCACCATCCCACCTACCTTCCCCAGCCTCATCCCTCATCTCTTTACTTATTTCTGAGCTCCCCTCCCCCTCCCGTTTTCTGAAGAAGGGTCCCGACCCGAAATGTCAGCTTTCCTGCTCCTCTGATGCTGCCTGGCCTGCTGTGTTCCTCCAGCTCCACACTTTGTTGTCTCTGACTCCAGCATCTGCAGTTTTTGCTGTCTCATATGC